GGTCATCGTAGATGGGGGGCTACCCCGAGGTGCAGTCGGGGAGCCAATCCGGCTGGGTGCCCACATTTCCCATTCCTCTGGGGTCCGCTCGGGGCAATTTTTGTCCAGCGCCACCTCTGCCCCTTCCCCCAGCCTTTTTGCCCCCTGGCTGGCCCTGGCCCTTCCGGCCCCCCGGCTTTTTTGCCCCCTGGCTGGCCCGGCCCTTCCGGCCCCCTGGCTTCCCCCAGTTTTTTTGCCCCCTGGCTGGCCCTGGCCCTTCCGGGCCCCTTCCAGGGCTCCACCTGGGCCTGCCGGGAAGCTGCGCGGGATCCGCAGCCTCCCGCGCTTCGCGGCCCCACAGGGAGCTCCACCCGCGGCCTCCGTGGGCGCCGGCTCCTCGCCGCACGGCGCCGCTTTCGGCCCGCGCGCGCTCCTCGGCGAGCCCCGCGTAACTGCGGGTCCGGGTAGTCGCCGACGTCTGGCACCACCACCCCGCCGAGCCTGTTTTTGCAGTCGGGGCGACAACCCTCGTGATCGCCCCCGCCCCCCCCCCCCCCCGATCACGGCGCGGTGTTTTCCCCACGTGTCTCAAAGAATCTTCCAGGGCTTCACGAGAGTCTCAAGTCCCCGAATTCGTCGTCGTCGCTGTTGTCCGCGACCGGGAGGTGGAGGACGCCTCGGATGACCTGTCATGCAACCAACTACGGGAGCATGGGCCAATCATGTGGGCCCAGCTCGTTTACCGTGGATTCCCAGGGGAAAAAGTGACGGAAAACAGAGCGGGCCATGGAAACACATCAAAACAGTTTGATCGGCAGGCTATTCTTGGGGTTCTTACCCGCCTTGATGGCCTTAATAGCATGCCGCTGCTTATACAGTGTGGGGGGGTGCTGAGAAGGGCCCAGACAGCATCCTCCAAGCTTCGAGTGCCCCGCACGCCCAGCATTAAGCTGGTACGACCCACACAATGTACAAACCATTGCACCAAGATTCGATAGAATTCGGTGGCCATCTAACTCTACGATGTCGTCTGCACACTGCTGCTGAGCCCCCGATGGACCAGGAACGACAGGGTCTTCCTGTGGGCTGAGCTCCTGCGCTAGACCTAGCGCAACGTTGACCGCCTCACTCCTGTAAGGCAATGCACGCTGCAATACAACATCATTGCGAGCCTGGAGCTTTTGTTGCTCCGTGGGCTCACACTTAGCATAATTACTGGTACCCGCAACGAGTTTCAACAAACTGGCTGGGGTCCGAGCCGTGGCCAAACAAGTCTTGCACTGCCAGACCCCAGGACTGCGGATGACCACCTCATGCACACGCAAACCTACATGCTGTACAGGTATCGGGGGGCCACCTAACTTGAGCCTCTCGGGTCTACTGCTGGTGGAGTCCCTGGTGATGAGCTTTGCAGCCGCCCAGGAGAAGAACTTAGCATTCAACTTCTCTTGACTCAGCCTGGCCTCGAACATTTGGACCGTCGATTTGTGTACAGCGTGCATGTTGGCCCCCTCCCTTGCGAAAAAAAACCCGCCCACATGTTCCCGAGCAGAAATTCAAACGGGAGGGTGCCGAAGTGTACCTCCAGGTAACTCTCGATCGTGATGTGCGCAGGCGTCCAGCAAGCTCTGGGCCGACGCTTGTCGTCAGCTGCATGCAAGATGTGCCTCCAGATGCCTGCGTATGTCGAATTCGCACTTTCCTGGTCGTGGTGCCAGGAGTTCACTTCAGCTGCCAGGCTCTGGAGATCTGTCACCCGTAGGTCCACAGCAGGTAAAAGCCTGAGTGCCATGAGGAAAGCCATTCGTTCCGATCTCCCGACCGTTTGTATCGGACCCTCGAGGGGCCCACATGCAGCGCGAACTGGTAGCCCGTTGTCCCCCATGACGACGAAAGACCACCCACATCGACGGATCTCAGGCCACGCAGGGGCCAGCCCCGAACCATCAGAGAAAATCAAAGAGCTCCAGGAACTTCTGTCAGACTCCCAGTCACCCCAGCAGACGTACTGCAACTTGAACTCCACATACGGTGGGATAAGAGGGCTCACTGGTATGCCTACTGCCGTGGCAAGACAATCCCAGTCGGGCTCTCCAAGGGCCTTCTGTCCGAGCTCCCTTAGCATATCATATGTGTACTGCATATCAGTGTTCCAGTCGAGATCGGGCTCCTCAGGCAGGTCATCGTAAAAACTAGGACAGCAAAAGAGCTCGTGTCCAATGGTCGATTGCTCCGCTGCGCAGTAGATGCAGGCAGGGGAGATCTGGTACCCTTTGGCAGCCAGTCTGGCACGTGACCAAATAGAGTCGGACCACAGTGCACGAAGCGCGCCTGCAAAACGTGGGTGCCTGACCACTGCCTTCTTAGCACCACTACATCTCCTCATAGCTCTCATCCATACGACCTCATCCCCATAGCATACCTCCTTGTGATGTGTAAGTATACGCAAGCCTTGCCATCGCTCGATGCCTTGCCTGACCAACTCCAGCACATCCTTGGGACAGAGCTGAAGGAGGTCAAACGTGTGACCTAGGTCGCTGTAGATCCCCGTGGCGGAATACATGCCCCATCCTATTCTCCTCAAAGACATCCATACTACAGCAATGGGCCCCCTTGCCGAGGTCCAAGAGGCCTTAATCTTGAGCCCCTCATCCACCTTCATCCAGGCCCTCTGCAGTCTCCCAAGGCAAACTCTGTTGTCCCAGACGAAGCTGCAGTAGGCCTTCAGGGGGTCCATGGTGGCATTGTATATTGGGTCGTACTTGGCGTCAGCCTGCGTAGCCAGATATACAGTGAGAGAAGAAACTGCCGTCGAACGGCCACATAACATGCCAGCAACAGAGCGTAAACGGGCAAGCTCTTGGTCGCTGACTCCTGATACCGTCGCGCCGTGCGCAGCAGCTGGAAGGAGTCCTGTTCTCCAGATCGCGGTGACTCTGTTGCCAGCCGCCTTCTGGAGCATAACAAGCCTTGGGAGCCTGTCCTGCAAGCCCTTCATCCTAGCCTTAGCTTGTTTCCTCACAGGAACTGGCCCACTGAGTTCATGCCCAAGATTTCGGACCCACTTCTTGCTTTTGAGGTTGATCCTTGAGGCCAACTTGCGGAACCCCTGGTGCCCCTTCCTAGTGTTGGAGACCCAGCCAGATTTCTTGACCTGCAGCAGGAGCCCCAACTTGGCCGAATCCTTGACGAAGCTCTGGATCCCCAAGTACAACTCAGCCGAAGAAGTCCCCGACGGCCCAACCCATTGGAACGTGCTGTCATCCACGAGCGCTCTCGGGGTCACGTTGGGGGCTACCTGGTGCACCTTCATGAGGGCCCTGTAGGTGAGGATGGTGAGGAGGGTGGTGGCGTGGGTGCAGCCCGCGAGGATGCCCTGGTACACCACCACCTGCTTGCTCCAACATCCAAACGCCTTTATAACCCTTGGCTGGGAATACGAGTTGATTAGCATCCGTAACAAACGAAGAGGGAACCCCAGGCACCTGGCTTCATCAAGCAATGCAGGGAACAGCACTGTCTCGAAACATTTCCACATATCGAGAAACACCGGGAGGTGGAGGAGGAGGAGGAGGAGGAGGAGGAGGAGGAGGTGCACCGAAATTATTTCGGTGCACGCATCACACGATTCCTGGCCCTCGTTAGGGAGCTCCGCCGACGATCCCAGTGGGCGCCGACGCAGGGCGCAGCGCCCACACCTCGACACGCCCCTCGCGAGGACCGCGGACCCCGTCGGGGAGCTCCGCGTGCGGCCTCAGTGGTGGGGTCCGCATGTTGGCGCCTTACGTGGTGGCTCCTCGACTACGAGCATCGTTGCCCCATAAATCAGGAGGGGAAAGAACACACAGACACAATTATTCGTCGACTCCCAGGAAATATGCGAAAATATGGGAAGTGGGGGGGAAGACAGAAACCCAGAAAATATGGGGATATATAGGGAATCTATTTATTTGTGTGTATTTATTTGTGTGTCCCAGGGCCCCTTCAATAAAGGGGGCTCCACCTACGGGCCTAGTGGCAGGAGCCGCATGGCGCCGCGGCCCACTTCGGGGCACACGAGGATCGTGGCCCACAAACGGCCCCAGTGGCAGGGTCAGTGCGGCGGCACGGCCCATGCCAGCGCACCCCACACGAGGATCGGGGCCCCACACGTAGCTCCAACTGAGGCCTCGGTGAGAAGGTTTGCATGCGTACTTCCGCCTGCTTCGGCACATCCTCACGCAAGACTCACCCAAGGCCCCAGTGGGAAGGTCTGCGCGCGTCCCACCACCACGCATATTTCGGCGTGCCCCTTTGGGAGGTCCACCTACGACTCCAGTGGGAAAGTTTGCATGCGTCCCCCCCATGCATGCTGACTCATCCGTCACACGGATCGTGCATACAGAAGTTCGCCGCCAACGTTACGTGGAGTTGCTAAGGGTTGTGTCCTTCGCTTGGCTAATCTTTCTCAGGCACTCGTGAGCTCCTCTGGAGCTGGCTGGCATCGAGGGCCCGCAGCCTCTGGGACTGCCTCCTCTATGGTCTTCGACCTGGCCTCCCGGACGCTCTGCTGTGTAGTCTCCCGTATGCTCTCCCGTATGCTTCCCCGTATGTTATCCCGCATGCTCTCCCGCATGGTCCGCCCGTATGTGCAGTACAGCACAGTACAGCTGCTGCTCTTGCTCTTTACTGATGCTGAATCGTGCCCCGCCAGGGTGTAAGTTGTCATCCTTGCCCACTTGCGGTAACGACGTAGATGCCCTTCGACGAAACCTCTCGTTCGGGTGCCACGTCAGGGAAGGGTAGGCTCAGGCGGCACGCATCCACCCCCGACTCGCCCTCTCGTCGCCCATGCATCGACCCGAGCCCGCCCGCCCAGGAACGTGCGAAGGTTCGCTACCCTGGGCCCGTCGCCGATCCATCGGCGATGCACTGCCGCTCCCAGGCCGGTGCCTCCACCCCCGGAGCCAAGTGCCCCCCACCCCGTCGTTGCCTCTCCTCCCCTCTCCTCGTGCCTCCTCTCGCGGTGTCCGCCCGCCGAGGACCTCGGGTACGGCGACATCTCCGAGGAGGGGGGGCGCCGACCCCCCGGGGGGGAATCGGGCACGGAGCGCGCGCTGCCCAGGGCCCCTTGCGGGCCGAGCGCGCGCAGCGCGCCCGCGTGTGCAGAGGTCCGTTGCTTCCTTTTTTTTCCGCCCGGGACAGAGGCGGGATGGGGGCGCACGGGGAGGAGGAGGAGGAGGAGGAGGAGGAGGAGGAGGACTTGAAGCTCGCTGAGGGGCAGCGAACGCGATCTGTGTTTCTGGGGCGACGGGGGTCAGGGCAATGCATTGTAGGGCAAAAGCAAGCATGAGCAGCCCAATCGTAGGCAAGAGGAAACATGAAATCAGAGCTTCTCGCGAAGGGCGGCTGTAAGGATTGCTGTTGACCGATCAAGCGCGCCCGCCGAGCGTACGGGGATCTGGCCCTGGAAACAACGCTGTCCCCCCAACGACCTTCAAAGGAGAAGGACCAGTGTAAATTCAAGACGCATGAGCGATCATGCAATACAATCGACCCTCCTTCCAAGATGCCTTTTTCATAGGAGGTTACAAGAATCTGCTCTCATTGCGGGGAGAGCCCTATCGGAAGACAACCGCTTGAGAATATTAAGCCATGCCAACACGTAATTCTTAGGACTTCAGCGCCTTGAATCAGCGAGATTATTGCGTCCTGACAATCCTCAATCGTGCCGGAAAATCATTCCTAGGATTTAAATACCTCGAATCAGCGCGATTTCTGCGTCCTGAGAATCCAACATCGTGCCAGAGCGCCATTCCTGCGAATTCAACCGCACGAATCCTTGAGTCGTTCGCTACCCTTTAAAACGAAGATACGCGGCGCTGAGGCGAGAGCCACATTTAGAACAGGAACCGCCCGTCATTCTTGAAGCTGTCGCGAGCTTTGAAAGCGAATATGCGCGGCGCTAGGGCGAGAGTGACATTTTGAAAAGGAGCCGCCCTCCATCCGTGAAGCGGTCGCACACTTTGAAGACGTGTGTGCGCGGCGCTGAGGCGATATTAACATTTTGGATGAGACCTGCCCTCCACCCTTGAAACTGTTGCAAACTTTCGAGACGAGTGTGCGCGGCGCGAAGGCCAGAACCACATTTTGAAAACGACCCGCCTTCAATCCGTGAAGCTGTTGCAACTTCAAAGTTTCAGGATCATCAATGGTGAGACTCAAGCGAAACGCCTGGCCCGCCGAACTGACACGTCTGGGGATGGGACACGGAGGAGTTCACCACTCATAAGGAAAAGGGATGGAGGAGGAGGAGGAGGAGGAGGAGGGGGAGGCGGATGTTGATGTTGCGGATGATGCTGATGATGAGGATGATGATGAGGATGAGGATGAGGATGAGCATGAGGATGAGGATGAGGATGAGGATGATGAGGATTCTGATGAGGATTCTGATGAGGATTCTGATGATGATGATGTTGATGCTGATGCTGCTGATGATGATGATGACGATGATGATGATGGTGGTGGTGGTGGTGATGATGATGATGATGATGATGAGGAGGAGGAGGAGGAGGAGGAGGAGGAGGAGAGTGACACCCAAAGTCTCAAGCACTGCCTTCGAAGTAGCGCGCTCGCCGTGGCAGCTGCCGCCCCACGAGGCCGTCGCCCTCGCCGCCCACGAGGAGCTCCGCGCGCTGGACCCTCCAACGCCGGCGGAGGGGCGTGGCGCCGCCTGCCGCTCTGGCCTGTGGGCTCCCAGCTGCCCCGCCCCAGGAGCGCTGTGGCTGGCACGCCGCTGCCCACGTGCTAAGAGACTTGCCGCCCCCCGCCTCAGCTCTTCCACTTCCAGGCTGGCTCTGTGCTTGCAGCACGTCTGCTTTTCCGCCCGTCTCGTGCGCCCCGCGCCCGGCGCAGCCCGCCTGTCTCGACCCACGCGCCCGCGTCCGCGGGCGCTGCCGATTCAGAGTGCTTGCAGTACCAGCTTCGCAGAGGTTCCGGCTCCAGCTCTGGCCTCATTGGCCGCTGCCTGGACATGGCGGGAGCGCTCTGCTCGGGGCGGCCTGCCGCGCAGCCCACAGACGGCCACCGTACACTTCCATCCTGGCCGCCCACCTGTCGGGTGTTGCCAGAGGTGTCGGCTTTCGGCGGCTGGGTCCTTCTCGCTTCCTCGTCCGCGGCCGCCCCCTTCTCATCCGCCTGCTCCAGCGCCTCGTGCCCGGCGCGCCTCGCTGGAACCGACGCCCGCGCCCGCGATCGTTGGCGCGGCCGGCTTGAAGGTTGCCAGAAGGCCTCCAAGGATTTCCAGGGAGGCCCCCACGGCTTCGGAGCTCGCCTCGCGAGGTCCAGATGGCCCAGGGCCTTCAGAATGGCGCGAAAACTGGCGGCACCTTGGGCCAGGGTTAAGTCGGGCGTGTCCCCCTACAGGGGGATTTTCGACAAAAAAATAAAAAATACCCCCAAAACAGTTCAAAAATAGTCCAAACATTGTCTGGGGACTATTTCTTGAGTATTTTTTTACCTTCTTGGGGTATTTTTGGGGTATTTTCTTATTTTTCGTCGAAAATCCCCCTGTAGGGGGGCACGCCCGACATAAACCTTGGGCCAGGGTCACCTCTGGTGACCCCCGACAATGGTTCTGGAGTAGATGGGGTCGGTGGATCGCGCCGCATCGCCGATATTTCGGCGATGCGGCGCGTCCAGAGGACGATCTTCTCCGTTCCGACCTTGTTGGTGCATCGGCAACGCATTGGCAAGGTGGCGCGATCATGCGACCGCATCTACCTTGGCCCTTTTAGGTGGTTTTCACTGCAGAATAACCGGTCGCAGCTGGCCCTGGATAGCCCGGGGCCGCCATGTGATCAGCATGCTTGGGGGCCTCACTGAACATCGCGATTTTGGCATCCACGTGGGCTGCTAATTGTGCTGCGGCAGGAAGCAAGGGCAAACAAACGAGTATTTCGAGCGTTGCTGCCCTGTGAGTGCTCTTTCGACGGGGGTGCCAGCATTTTGCAGGACGCTTGTAATTACTGGGGCCCGCATCAGGAAACCGTGAAAAGTCACGAGCCGCCGCGCTGCAGACATTTCTGAACAAGAGGCGCCATGAACACGTCACGAACATCCAGACCACCGCGGCCTCAAACCCAGAGCGCCGAAGAAAACATGTTCGTGCACGAGGAAGTCATACTGAGTCGTGGCCAATGGTTCCATGAGGACAGTCGCCGAGTTCAAGCACACGCTCCTGGCAGCGACCTCCCGAAACGTCCCCGACTCACAATTAGCTCCTCCTCCCGCCCTCCTCCTTTGCCCCCCTCTCCGCCTAATCCTGCGGCGCCTGCGCTTCCTGTCTAGAGTTACACGGCCGCAATACCTCGACACCTGCCGTCACATAAATCCAATGAAAAGGCAATTTCTTCATTCATGAAGGGGCAGTAAGTGATTCGAGGGGCAAGCAAATAATCACAGGGGCATCCATGAAAGAAAGGAACTAATTCGAGGGGCAGTCTGACGCTGGATGTAAACATGTGTGTCGGAGTACAATGCAACTAGGATGCGAGCCGACTTTCGCCCATCATAACTGGTTGCCTCGAGGATCGGTCCGTGAAACGGGGCGCGGTCGTGACTGCTAGCACGCCGCGGTCCTTGAAACCGAAACTCACAATTCCCTGTCGGGGGGTGATCGCTTGGCTTGACAAAGAGAGAGGGCCGAAGCGGACGCCATGATCGCATGCTCGCCAGAAGCTCGCGGCCTCGCGCCCTCTCGCGACGGCGGATCCGCGCCGCCTCTCGGCCCAGACCCTCTTTCGCCCTGGCCTTGCCAGGGCCGCTGCTGCAGGAAACCCGGCTGCCCGCCTGGAACGCTCTCGCTGCCAGCCGGGGCGCGGCCGTTGGGCTCCTGACGAGAACAGCCTCGCTCCTCCTCCTCCTCCTCCTCCTCCTCCTCCTCCTTCCCCTCCTCCTCCTCCCCCTCCTCCTCCTCCTCCTCCTTCCCCTCCTTCTCCTCCTCCTCCTCCTCCTCCTCCTCCTCCTGGGCCTGTGACCTCCAGACGGCTCTCAGCGGCCCAGTCCTCGCGCGGAGGCTCAGGGTCCACGTCGCCCGGTGTCCTCGGATGGAGGCGCAGGTTGCTGAGCCAGCTCAGCAGCTGGCAGGGGAGCCCGCCGCCCTTGCAGGGGACGCGCAGCGACAGCGAAACGCCCGAGGGCCCTGCCGACGAGGTGACCGCGGAGTTGGTGGACGCGGCGTTGGCAGTGCCCGGGCAGTGGATGATGGCCGCCACAACCGCGCACTTCGAGCCTCCAGCGAAAGCCACCACGTTGTCCTTTCCAGTCGGGTAGATTAGCGGCGCCCTGCGCCCGAACCAAATGCTGGCTATGAACCAAAAGGCATGTTTACCACTAGGAACTCTCCGAGCTTCCACAGCGAGCAAAGAACATTGGAATTGTGATTCGGTTGGCAACCACGGATTGGCCGAATGGCTTGCGGTGCCTCCTGCCCGCGGCCCTGGCCAGCACAGCGCGCTGCACCAGCGCGAAGGTCAGGATGATGCGTTGAAGGTCGTTCTCTGGGATTCCCTCCTGCGACCAGAATGGAATGGCGTTTCCCTCCAAATGCACTGTCCATTACGCGGACGTTGGGCAACTAGGCGACCGCCCCCTTCAGCGCTCAGATGGAGGATGGAGGATGGAGGATGGAGGAGGAGGAGGAGGAGGAAGAGGAGGAGGAGGCGGAGGCGGAGGCGGAAAAGGAGGAGGAGGCGGAGGCGGAGGAGGAGGAGGAGGAGGAAGAAGAGGAGGAGGAGGAGGAGCGTGGAGCGTGGAGCGTGGAGCGTGGAGCGTGGAGCGTGGAGCGTGGAGCGTGGAGCGTGGAGGATGGAGACTGGAGACTGGAGGATGGAGGATGGAGGATGGAGGATGGAGGATGGAGGATGGAGAATGGAGGATGGAGGATGGAGGATTGAGGAGGAGGAGAAGGAGGCGGAGGAGGATGGACTGTGGAGGACGGAGGATGGAGGATGGAGGATGGAGGAGGAGGATGGAGGACGGAGCGAGGATGACGCGAAGATCATCCTCGAAACCGCGGACGGGGACAAGGATGGCAGGACGCATCGCCGGCGGCCGGATGTGTAGACGGGCTTCCTGTTCTGCCTCATCTTGCCTACTCTAACCCCAACCCCCTCCTCCTTCACCTCCTCCTCCTCCTCCTCCTCCTCCTCCTCCTCCTCCTCCCCCCTCCCCCTCCCCCTCCTCCTCCTCCTCCTCCTCCTCCTCCTCCTCCTCCTCCTCCTCCTCCTCCTCCCCCCTCCTCCTCCTCCTTGTCCAGAAGCTCGAAGGCTGCAGTCTCTCATACCCCAGACCACTGGAAGTGCCCGCACCGCTCCAGCGAGCATCTACCCTCACGACTGCGTTGCCATGTGGTCGCGTTAGCTGTCCCAGTCGCCCTGGCCACCCTTCTCCCTTTTCTCGCTCCCCCTCCTGCTGCTGCTCCTCCTCATCTTCCGCCAACTTCTCCTGCCCCTCCTCCCTCGAGAATAAGGCCGATTACATCCACTTCGGACCGTTCACGAACTGCTTGGGGCGGAATCCAATCACCGAACAGGGGCCGATCGCAACGTGATGGATTCCTATATACATATATATATATGTTCTATAAGACGGTCACCATACTACAACCGGATTCCAACCTCTGCAGAGCATCTGCAGTGCTTCTTATGAGCCATTGAAGCGCTTCTGAAGCGCTTCTGAAGCGCCTCTGAAGCGCCTCTGAGGCGCCTCTGAAGCACCTCTGAAGCGCCTCCGAAGCGCCTCCGAAGCGCCTCTGAAGCGCTTTTGAAGAGCTTCTGCGGTGCTCCTTGGGAGCTTAGAAGGAGCCTATGAGGAGCGTCCCAGCAGCTTCTGAGAAGCTTCTGAGGAGCGTCCGAGCAGCTTCTGAGGAGCTTTGAGGCGCTTCTGAGGAGCTGAGGAGGAGGGACACGACGGGAATGCAGGGGGGGAGGAGGACGACGAGGAAGATGAGGATTTTCTTTACTACCCTTCTCATTACTACTACTCTTACGACTACTGCTACTACTACTACTACTGCTGCTGCTGCTACTACTACAACAACAACAAGAAGTATTACCAGTACGGCTATGACGACAATTACGATTATTATCATTATCATCATTATTATTGCTTTTATTATAAATATCATTATTACTGTTACAGCTACGACTGCTACTACTACGACTACTAGTGTTATTATTATTATTATTACAGCCGCTACCAATACTAGTACTGCTAAGGCTGCCGAGGCTACCACCAAGGCTAGTGCTACTACAACTACTACTGGGACTGCTATTGTAATTATTAGTAGGCTACTACGACTAATACTATTATTATTTATTACAATGACTGCTACTACCATGACAGCCACAACAACAACCACCACTTCTACTACAACTACTGCTACTACTACTACTACTACTAGTGCTAGACTACCTCTACCACCATCACTGGTACAACTACTGTGACTACTTCTCGTACTAACTACCTCTACTACTGCTACTACTATTACTACTACTACTACTATTACTACTGCGAACGCTGCTACTTATATGGGCACTGGAACATAACTCGACTAGTACGACTTCTTCTGCCACGATTACTACTACTACAACTACTGCTACTACCACGACTTCTACTACTACTTCCGCGACCACCACCACTACCCCTACTACTACTACTACTGCTACTTCTACTAATACTATTTCTATAACCCCTCGTATTATTAGAAGACATAATTCTACGACTGCTAGTACTATACCTACTACCGCTACTAGTACTGCTATCACTACTACTGCTACTACCACAGCTGCTACTACTTACTAATTTCGAGTACTACTACGACTACTGCTTCCACTACGACTACGACGAGTACTAAGACTAATGCCAATCATAACACTAATACTAACACTAGTACTACTATTACTACTAAAACTACTACTACTATTATTGTTTCTACTACGGTTACGACTACGTCTCCTACCCTTACAACGCCAGTACCAACAACCATTGTTGCTGCTACATAATGATTACTACTACTACGAATCTCAATGCTACTACTACTACTACTACTACTACTACTACCGTTACTACTACTTTTATGACTTTTGTTATTACTGCCGCCACCAGCACCACCACCACTGCTATTACGAATACTACCACTACTACTATTACTACTACTACTATTACTATTATCCGTACTAGACGTAGTATCACTACCATTTCCAATCTTATTCCATACTTACTACTAATAACACTGCAACTAGTGCGACCACGACTATCTCTATTACTGCTACTACTACTACTACTACTACTACTACTTCGAGTACTATCACAACTAAAACTACTACTACTACTGCTACTACCAATACTACTACCACTACTACTACTACTACTACTACTCGTACAAACACTAACATCAATATTCATACTGGTCGTTAACACTACTTGTGCGACCATTCCTACGACCACTACTCGTACTACTACTACTACTACTTCTACTAATGCTAATATCGCGTATTTTGACACTGCCGCTACCACAACCATTACCACTACGACTACTACTATCACTCCTGCTACCACTTCTACTACCACCACTGCGACCACTACTACTGCTACTACTACTACTACTACTACTACTACTATTACTACTACTACCAGCACCACTACCACTACTGTTGCTACTATTCCTACTACTATCCGTACCACTACTACTTCTAGTACTACTACTACTGTTTTTATTATTATTACTACTACTACTGCAACTGCGAGGACTACTACTATTATCACCACTACTGCTACTACTATCATTGTTTCTGCTACTATTAATTTTGTTATTGCTACTACTTCTTTGATTTGCCACTGCTACTACCCCTACTATTACTAGTACTACTGCTACTACTACTACTACTCCTCCTACGACTCCTACCAGTAATACTACTACTATTCTCATCTTCACTACTACTACTACTACTATTACTATTTCTACTACTACTACTACTATATTTATTACTACTACTACTACCACTACTACTACTACTACTACTACCACTACCACTACCACTACCACTACTTCTACTACTACTACTACTACTACTACTATTACTACTACTACTACTACCACTACTACTACCACTACTACTACTACTGCTATTGCTACTACTACTACCACTACTACTACTTTACCACTATTATTATTACTACTACTACAAGTACTACTACTACGACTACTACTACTACTACTACTATTACTACTACTACGACTACTACTACTACTACTACGACTACTACTGCTACTTGTACTACTACTACTACTACTACTATTATTATTACTACTACTACTGCTACTACTACTACGACTACTACTGCTCCTCGTGGTCTGCGATCGGCCCGATCGCAACCGCATTGTGAAAATTCATCGGTGAGCTCAAGGCAACCCTCTCATTCCAGAAGCTCTCTTGGATATCCCCTGCGATCAGTGTATGCGAACCCGAAACATCGCAACCATTTCGGCCCGATCGCAACCGGCTTGGATCCGCCCTAAGTGGCTGCGATCGGGCCGAAGTGGTTGCGATCGGCCCCGGTCGCCTCCTCCCTCCATCCCTCCCTCCCTCCCTCATCCATCCCTTCGTCCTTCTCGCTCATCCTCTCCTTCCCCCTCCTCCCTCCCTCTGCCTTCCATCCTCCTCCATCTCCCGCCAAGCCTTTTTTTTCTCTCTTCCCTCTCCTCCTCCCTCCCCCCATACTTCCCCTACCCCTCCCTGCCACCTCCCTCCCTCCCTCCCTCCTTCCTCCCGTCTCTCTCTCTCTCTCTTTCTTTATCCCTCATGCTCTTCCTTAACTCTCCGTCTACCCCCTTTCCTTTTTCCTCTGCGGCTGCAAAATCAAGGGTGCGGATGAGGAGGAGGGCAGCGGGAGGATGAGGTGGCAGACGACGAGCAAGCGGAGGGAGAGATGAAGTAGGGAGGGAGGGAGGAGGGAAGGAGGGAGGAGGAGAGAGGAGGGAGGGAGGGAGGGGTACGGCAAGGCCTTGTCGTCGGCCAGACGCCCCCAGGATCGGCCTGGACGACTTCCGCATGATGGTGCCCTTCGGGCAGCCTCGCGAGGAGTGCCTCTTCCCGCGTCGCGGGGAGGGGAGGGGAGGCGAAGTTTTCGGAAGTATTCGTTTCTTGCTGGAAGATCTCGCGCTTCGGGATGCTCTCTAGCAGCTGTCCCATTGCCGACGGCGTTGGGGGAGTGTCGGAATCGTCCCAGACGGCCGCCTGAGGCCTGAGTCGTGGCCCGAAAGCCGACCTCCTCGCTCCGGGGCGGACGAGCCCGGCCTTCCGTCTATCGGAGAAACTCTGGGGCGGCAAAGAGGGGGGTGATGATTAGGGGGGGTGGATATCATGGCGTGGGCCATGATATTTCCTCAGATTTCATGGCGCCTCTTCTGACTTCATTACGTTCCTGGTCCCCCCCCTGGGCCGCGTACATGCCGTCGGCCATGATTAGCGCCCCCCCCTCTTGGACGCCCCCCTCTTGGCCGCCCCCGAAAGCATCGAGCACGGCGCGTGGATTGGGCGACAAGTCCAGCTTCCGTGCACCATCGGCGCTGGCCGTCGCCAGATCGGGCGGTGTCGGCTTTGTATGTTCGGGCGTTTCTTTCCCGGATCCACGACTCGGGCCCTCCCGCGCCAGATCTGAACCGTTGAGACTTTCGCGCGGGACGAGTGAGGATATGAAGGAGAGAGAGGAGCAGAAGGATCCCTCTTCCGACTGTTTCGGGCAGCTATGTGTTACGAATCTGTTCTTCTGCATTTTGCGGATATGCGAGATCAGATCACCGAGTCCGTTGTTGAATGATCACGTGATGTACTGAACTTGTTGCGGGTTTGCGGAGGTGTCCGGGAGCGTAAGGGTTTTGCGGCAGTTTTCGGTAGACTAGGGCGTATGGGGCATCAAGTTCACCATGGGAACGGCATTTGCTGTTCCGCACATTCCCGCCCGCCTCCCACCGCACAAGTACCACCCGAGATTCAACATAGGCGGTGGCCCCCCTCTGATGGACAACCAATCTGTGCCAATGCAGACGACCAGTGCGACACGCTCGCATGGTGGCCCACGCATGCCACGTGCGCCACGCGCATATGGTAAACCAGGCCAAGCAATTGTGCCAGGTGCGCCTGGTGTGCCAGATGTGCCATGGGCCCCGCGTGCCAGGGGCGCCACGTGCGCGACGCGCGGAGTGCGCCATTGGCGCCAGCACGCGTGTCAGCACTCATCGAGCAAAATGCCGACACCCCCGACACAGATCTCATCGGTGAGCGTTGGCTTCTGACAGGGATGGTGGGCTAATGCGCGCTGGGCATTTTACCTCATTTTCTCCTTCCCTGACAAGCACTAGTGCAACTATCAGCCAGCGTTGACCCCAATATAAGCATCTACTCTACCCTACTCTACTCTACGCTACCCTCTTCTACTCTCCTCAACACTCCTCTACTTCACATTACTCTGCTCTACACTACTCTACTGTACTCTGTTCTACACTACTCGTACTCTATGCGACTCTATGAGACTCTGCTCTATTCTATTCTACCCTACTCTACTATACCCTACCCTACTCTACTCTGCTTTATTGTACTCTGCTCTACTCTACCCTACCCTACTCGTACTTTGCTCTGCTCCATCATAATGTTCTCTATTGTGTGTGCACCTCACGTACGTGCGCCACTCGCTGCCGTTTGACCCTCAAAGGGACCCCTTGTGCCAAGGCACAACAACATCATACATCACACTGGCAGCGGAGCCTGCTACACGGTCCTCGGCGACCGGACCACTGCGCAGGACTCGTCTCCCCCGAGAATCCTCACGATCATCACATCGTACTTCGTGCTTGCTTGAGCAGTGACCCTTACAAATTGGACTGTATACTGACTTGTTATTTGCCCGCACACTTGCCTGCACCATGGCGCTGTCTTCTCTTCGTTATAGACCACGTTCCAATGTACTGACAAGATCGGATACGAAGAGCGGACAGAACAACTCCCATGAGTGAATATTCCGCGCAGAGATGCGCATGAGTGCTGCCTCGGCCGCCGTTGATATTGCAACGGGAGAGCCACAGCCACACACCGTCGCAGCAGCCGTCAGTAAGGTGATAGAGGTCCTCAGAGGCAATGCGTTCCATATGGCCATGGATACTGGCAAGGGTACGCTTCTGACTAAGACAGTCCGTACCTCGCTCTTTCCCATAGAAGCCTGGGGAACCAATACCCTCGTCCAAGTAGGACAGAGACCCTACAGACCAATGTCCCGACAGAGCGGTGGGTCTAAGGAAACGCTGGTGGAAGCTTGTCCCTCAACCTGATCCGAGCCTCATGATGAGTGACGGCATGCTTGAATCCTTTTCCTGGATCGTGCAGGACCTTCGCTTTCGGAGAACTTGATGGAACAGGCATCAACGAGCAATGCGACCAACTTCGACAATCTCATGGGCGGCTTGTCTCCACATCCGCCAAAATGGTAAAGGAGACTCGGGCAAGAGTTCCACCTTCACTCACTGGACGCCCCGAAACCCTAGCAAGGGCAAGGTACTCTAGACCACCACAGGCGTACCGCGCTGCTGACGACAGCTGGCATGGGCAGGAGGAGCACCACCCCGAGGAATTGAGCCCCCATGGTTACTGCGCGTCCGCCTTGACACATGGATATGGTTGGGGCGACGAATCTTGGTGGACAGACACGTGGACAGACGACCAAGCGCTGGGCGACGGCGATCCCCGCGCTTACTGGACATCAGCGCTGTTCGGAGAAGAACTTCACGCTGATGTAATGGAGCAAATGGTCAATCACGGCTACACGGAAGAAGGAGCTTCTGAGATGACCCAGTCACGCAGAGACGATTTGGTAGCCAATTTGGCGCCGAAGGCAGAGGCAAGAGCAGAGGCAAGGGAAAGGGTCACCGCCAGCAGCCCTCATCGTCCAAGGGCGGTGGCAAGGGATCACCGACACTCGAAGAACGCAAGGCTCGCCTCCAGGAAATCCAGAAACCATCGAGGTGCAAAACCTGCAACGAGATTTGCCATTGGTCTGGGGGCGCCGAGTGTAAGGGCAAACCCAAGACGGCCATGATAGCGCACGCCGGTGAGCGACCGCTTCCGTTCCGCGAGGGCGGCGACGACGAGCAGTTCGCGGCCGCAGGATCTGTTGCGGCATCATCCACCGTTCGTCATCATCACCATCATCATCATCATCATCACGATGCTTGTAACGTACCGCATGCCACTAGCTCCTTCTTCTCGTCCTTCTCGCCGCATGTTGCGCGTCGTCGTGCAGCGCGTTTGAGCGAGGGGGAGAAGCGCAGTGGGGAGTGCTGTTTGCTGCAGGGGCGCGCAGAGGAGCATGTCTGCGAGAGTTGCTTCGAGGCGCCCTGCCGTCCGAAGCCACTTTGGCTCTCGACCCCGAGCGCGAGCGCGCGGCCGCGGCTCGGGGCGCCGCCCAGACCTCGTCGGAGGCCGGCGAGGTCGGCGGGGAGCTTCGCGCGCGCGTGGCTCTTCGCAGCCCTGCCTCGAGGGCTGCCGCTCCGAGTGCCTCGACAAACGCCCCCGATAATTCTGCGATGGGCAGTGTATCGGGTGAGGAGTTTGAGGCGACATCCATTCGAGAGTTGGTTGCTCTTCCTGGTGATGACGCGACGTTCGTAACTGGTCAGCGTGGAGGTCTCGCGCGTGGCAGAGTGCTAAGGGGTGCGCCTGATTGTGTCTCCTGAGGCCGCGGTGTCAAGGTCCTGGTGAGGAGTTTCTTCCTTGGCATGGTGTAATGAGCATTTGGTTCAGTTAGATTGGCCGCGGCGCACGTCGTTCTGCAGATGACATGCATTCCTGTCGGCGCTGGCGCCGACAGCTCGACGGGGGCGAAGCAGCCTCCAGAGCCGCCACTGCCTCATCCGTGTGCTCGCGTTTGTGCAAGTTTCTGGCGCTGGCTCGTCGGTTCGCTTCATCGTTCGCACTTGCAGAGACTGTGGGCACGAGACCAAGAAGGAGAGGTGCGAGGCGCCACGCCAGCCGGATGAGTGTTCCATGACCTCGTTGACAACGGTGTCAACGGTGTCAACGAGGTAGTGCCAACGGCCAGCGGTAGTGACAACGGTGTCAACGGTGTCAACGGCCAGCGGTAGTGCCAACGGTGTCGTCCGCGCGTTCTGTTGCCATTGCTTAGCGCGCGTTGATGAGCGGCCTCGAGAGCTCGCTCAGGAGAACAAAGAGATCGCGAAGAAAGTCGAGCGCGCCACCGACCTCCAGGCCGAAGCAATCGGGAAGATCGTCGAGAGCGACCGTCGCATCGGCGCCGAGGAGCTGAATATTGCCATGAAGATGTTCGCGAAGCGTGCAATGCCGATCTGTCGAGACACGGGCGACATCGACACAGGCAAGTTGACAGCGCTGCTCCACGACTGCGTATCAAAGACATCCGATACTTATATCATCGCGTTTGCGGCGCCGTCATCTCCAGCATCGACCGACTCGTCGGCCGTTTCCAAGCTCAGAATGGTAGACGTCTGCAAGGATGAAGGTGCGCGGGCAGTCTTGGATGGAGGTTGCAAGTCATGATATCGCGGCAAAGCCTGGACTGTCAATGCAGAAGATAAACTTTGAGAGGGTCGGATACTTTGCCGAGTTGATCGGCAGGGATCGTAAGACTTATTCTGGTATTGGTGGCCGTGTTGGACGTTCCACGTTTGGTGAGAAACGTTTCCCATGTCGCATCCTTGGCAGTCGTGGTGCAGTCGTTGGTACTGTCGAGTTTCGTCAGTTGAAAGGGCAGGATTATTAGGTACCGCTCCTTCTGTCATTGCCGACGCAGGTGTCGCTTGGGGTCGTTGAGGGCCTCGCCAATGGCCGCGCCACTCCTGGACCTGGACGGCCGAAGTGATGTGTCGTTGCCATCTTTCTGGGCTTGTCGTCGTTCGCCTCGATCAGTTTGATTCTCGTCGCAAGCCTGATGTTGCGCGTCCTTTGAATATCTCGTTTGCAGCCGCGACGATCCCCGCGGAGACAGAACCGGCGCGGCAGGCGAATCTTGATCAGAGCGACGGCGAGAGCGACAAGTTTGCAGCGATGGGCATTGCCGTGCAGATTCTCCCGTCGAGTCGCCATCAGCCAAATCATCGAGGAGCGAAGTCCCTCCGTTTGCGGTTACCCCCTGGGATTGGAGAACTTCGAGGGCCATTTTGCTGGGGCAGGCAGCAAGATGCCCGCATCATGTTTTGCCAGTCGCCATCATGAGCACATCAGGAAAGGGCGGACAAGTGATATGTGATGCTCTGGCTGCCCCCGCCCGAAGCTCGGATAATTTTAGAGACTCATCCTCGTCGGCGCTCGGAAACCCGATGGCCCGCGGCGTGCGCGCCGCATCGGGGTCCATCCGAGGGCCCTGAAAGCTTCTGCAGAGAAATGCACATTTCCGGACATCGCGGACTATCTCGATCGGTCCGTATCGCGCTGTTCCCAGGGCGAGTCAGCTGCGATTGGCTTGATATGCCGTTCAGGCCGACGTCGTTCAGTTGCAGTTTCTCGTGGATTGAAGCAGTATCTGGCGGAAGTTAACATTGGATATCCACTGATTCTTTCTAGCGACCGTGAGTGGGACGAGAGAACATGCGGTGGGCGGTGTGATGATTGCTGCCGCAGACCCCCCTGGGCCGTGGAGATGGCCGCGGGCGCCGCGAGTCAGATAATTCGCGCGATCTCGGGCGCCGCCCAGAACCGCAGCGGCCCCCCTTCTCAGTCCGAGGGCCGCGGCGCGCTTTCAGTTGCCAAGCGTCGCCCCAAGGTGGGCGGTTTTGATCGGGCTCGCCGCGCGGAGAGGCGCCCCCGCGCGGGTTTCCATCCCCGTGTTCATGGCGACGTGACGCCCGCACCATATGGAGGTCGCGTAAGGGGTCAGAATTTGACGAGGGCGACTTCAAGGATATCATGGGGCGTTACAGGGGCCGAGAGTTGCAGTCGGATGATCGCGCCCCCGTTGATTGCGCGCGCATCGGAGAGGCTGCTCAGCGCAAGGAGACAGGCGCCAAGCCGAAACCTCCAGGGATGACCTTTGCTGTTCCTGTTGACGATGGCGACGACGTCGAGCCTCTGGCTGCAGCGGGGCCCGGCCGCCCTGTGGAGAGCGGGCGCGGCGCCGAGCGGGCGCGAATGACGCCGACTCCAAAGCGCAGAGCGGAGGGTGATCCATTGGCAGCTGCCGCGTTGACTCCGAGGCCGCCATCAGTATCGCCGCGAGCGTCACTTCGTGCTGTGCCGAAGCCCGCCATGCCGCCGCCGGGACATGCCCAGAGGGCAGTTGCGCCTGCGCCGCCTCCACCGCCGCCTCCTGCCGGCGCGGTATCCCGGGATCTCGCGACCGAGACCTGCGGGTGCGCAGCGACAGGGGCGGAGATCCAGTCGTGGATTTCGAATACTTGAATGTTGGGGATGAGGAGAAGGAGACGTTGTTCGAAACTGGCAAGAAACGAAGCTTCATCACGCACGTTGATCCAGTGACGTTTTCCGAGCAAGGGGTGGCATCAGCATCTGAGCAGATGGATAGCCGTAGCTTGGTCCGTGCCAATCTCAAGCTTGATCCATGCGACGCAAAGATTAAGTACCCCACTTCGTGGGCCAGTTGGCGCAAGTGTGCTATGGGCCGCAGAAAGAACGTACAAGAACAGCCCAAGACGCTCCCCAACAACCCAATATATCTTTCAGGCGGTTTTCCAGGCTCCAGGAGGCTTCCAGGAGACCCCAATAGAGCACCGGGAGGCCTCCCCAGAGCGCCTGGAGAACCTAACATCGTTAATATTCATTTGTTTTTTGTCGGATTTTGGATGTCTCACCAGTTCATGCTTCCAGCATTCCAAGACGGCCAAAGAGGCCCCAAGACGGCCGCAAGACCGCCCAAGAGGGAGCAGGAGGCCTCCAGAGACCTCCGAGAGCATTCTGGGACCCCCCAGAGGCTCCCAACACACCCCAGACCCGTGAGAGGCCCAAAAATAACCCCGACGAGGCCCCCCAAACAACCCAAGCGAGCTTCGAAAGCCGTTCCGAGAGAGCCCGAAAAGGGTAACATCGTTGATTTCCAGTGGTTCTTTGTTCGACGTTTTTCGCCTTCTCACGTTTTCCCGCTTCCAGCGCTCGAAGGCCGAGGAACAGGAAAACACAGGGAATTCCAGGGATCTTTTTTTATAACAAAATAATACATCATGATAACAAATACGCCCCCCCCCTCCCTCGCGGGGGGGCCCACACCTCCCCGGAACATCTGCGGAACGCTCCCGGTACCGTGCGTTCCGGCTCAGGGGGGCCCCCCAAACGCCGAAAGACAGCCCAAGACGACCCCAAGAAGCGAAATTTCCAGAACGTAAAGGAACGACCCAAGACGCTCCCAAGCAACCCAAGATAGCTTTCGGGTAGTTCTTTCCCCAGGCTCCCAGAAAACTTCCAAGATACCTCAAGAGAGCTCCAGGAGGCCTCCCGAAAGTGCCCGGAGAACCTCAAATCGTTAATTCCAACATGTTTTTTGTAGGTTTTTGGCTTTCTCACTATTTCATGTTTGCAACGCTCCAAAACGGCCGAAGAGGCTCCCAAGACCGCCCCAAGACCGCCCAAGATGCCCCCAAGACGTCTGCAAGATGGGCCAAGAAGGCCCCAAGTCTGCCGAAGAGGCGCCCAGGACAGCCCCAGACCTTTCAGAACAGACCCAAGATGGGCTCAAGAGCGGGAGCAGGAGGTCTCAAGAGACCTCCGAGAGGCCTCCGGGCCCCCCCAGAGGCCCCCAACACACCCCAGACATTTGAGAAACATCGAAAAAGCCCCGACGAGGCCCCAAACATAACCCAAGAGAGCTTCGAGAGCCGTCCCACCGTTTTTTGCCTTCACGTTTTCCCGCTTTCAACGCTCAAAGATCGAGGAATTGGAAAGAAGGAGAAGAAGAATAAGAATAAGAAGAAGAAGAAGAACAATAATAACAAGAATAATAAGAAGAACAAGAAGATGAATAATAATAATGAACACCTTTTTTATATTATTATTATTAATGTTTTTCAAATTTGGATTCCTACTCCCCATCCGCTTTCTCGACATTTTCTTGTCCACCCGATTGGGCTGTCTTGGGGGCCATCTTGGACCATCTTGGGCCATCTTGGGGGCCATCTTGGTTGGACCGTCTTGGCCGTCTTGGACGCGATGGCACCAATGGAGAGTGAGTTTTCCTGGGCTTTCCGGGTGGCCGGCGGCTTGGGCCGAGACCCCACTGGGAGTTCTTTAGAAAAGAAACGGCACTTTTCAGAAATTTTGCACGCCGTGCACCCCTGTGATGAATCACCAGGGGGCGGCGGATGCAATGGCCTTCGGCCCATCCCGCCACCGTGCCCGGGTTGTCAATGGTCTCGGGGGCCTCTTGGAGGTTTCTTGCGGGCATTTTTGGGGCCACCGTCTTGGCCGTCTTGGACGCGATGGGACCAATGGAGAACACATTTGCCCAGGCTTTCCGGGTGGCCGGCGGGTTGGGCCGAGACCCCACTGGGAGTTCTTTGGAAAAGAAACGACATTTCTCTGAAATTGTTGACGCTTCGCGAATCCCCACCAGTTCACCGCGCCTGATCGCCCACCAGGCATGATGGACGCGTAGGCATCGGCGCACACGTCCTCGCGCTGTCTGAATGGGTTATGCCTCACGGCATACCGAATTTCCTGGCATTTTGCTAGGCTGCATGTGCCTGAGCTTCCCTGGATGCCCTCAGCCCGTCAGCTTTTTCCGCGCAGCCCCGCGGCTGCTTGGTGAGTGGGCCGGCCGGCCCGCGGCGCGTTTAGTAGCTAATTAGGCCGTTACCGTGTCCCGGAACGCTTCTGACTCCGCTTGCGCTCTCGCTGGCGGACGCGACCGAAAAAGAATCCCCACCAGCCCATCCAGAAACGATGCCCAGAGGAATTGCCTCGATCAGGGAAGCGGGCAGCACACAGAGGAAGGGTCCCCCAGTGGAGGCTTCTTGGAGCGTCTTGGGGGCCTTTTGGCGGTCCCGGACGCCTCTTAGAGCGTCTTGGGTGCCTCGGAGAGCTTCTTGGGGCTTCTCCTCGAGGGTGCCATGCTTCCCTCGCGCCCGGGCGCCACCTCGCCCGCGGGCGGCGGCCTTTGCGGCGCGCCGCTGCGGGTCTGGTCTCCGATTCCGTAGAGGGCCCGATTTCGAGAAAAAATCCGAGGCGGGGGTTTTATTCATAGGGGATCTACCGTTGGGGACCTCAGCAGGCGGTGGCTATGATCTATTCGGGCCGTGTGGGGGGGAAGTACATCCATGTATCTACCGCCCGTTGAGGTCCCCGAAAACCCGATTCCCCAGGCGGTGGTCATGGATGTCCGCCTCGGGAAAAGCACGACGGAATGTTTTTGGCCATCTTCGGCCTCTGTTGGCCCTTAATGGGCCCAGTGGCCTTCAAAAAACGAGTCGGGATGAAAAGCCGACCCCTGGAAGGGGTCGAGACCTCCGAGGTCCACGCTGTGCAGAATTCCGGCATCTGGGACCTGGGAGTGTCTCAGGGTGCTCGCTCTTGTGTCGCAGTGCTGCCCAGTCATCAGCATATCCTGGCTTGCTGTGCGCCGAGGGGAGCTTGTGTTGAGTGTGGGTGGTGCAGTGATGGGAGCAGCCGTACCATATTGAGAGGGCACGAAGCAGTTTCACGAGAGACGCAATTGTTATGGGTATAGCTTTGAATCTCGAGGATGCCGACGCTTCCGGCGACTGAGCCTCCTCGGCTACCAGCATGCGCGTATGCGCGCACCCTGCTTATATTGGTCGCCATGAAGACATGTGGTCTTGAGGAAAATAGCTCCTGTTTTTTTACTTATTTTTCGACCTCCTGGGGCCCTTCCTGGGCCCCAGGACCGTGACACCTACATAGGGACGAACAGCCAGAATTGTTTTTCTCAGGACCTCCGTTCCTTCGTTGCAAATCTGCTGGACCTGCGTTCTCATTCCTTCGCGGTGAGAACGCCTGCTTGCTGTGCAGGCCGCGGGATGCCCTCTTCGTCTGCCTTCTAGCTGGCCTTGCCAGGCTTCGCTTTGAAGCTTGTGCTGTTGATGGCCGCGTCTCACCCCTCTGTCTCGGCGGCGCGGAGCGTGGGTGGCGCGAGGGGCCGGCCTTATGATCAGGCGGGGGTCTTTCTAGATGGGGTGGGAGGCTTTTTTCAGGAGGTTCTCAGAGGGCCTACGGGCTTGTAAGAGATCCCCCCGGCCTTCTTCCGAGGTGACCGCCCATCGTCCGCACCCCCTCTGTCGCGCCGCCAGCTGTTCTTGGTCTATGGTGCCGAGGGCGAGAAGGAAAGCTTGGCTCCGATCGGACAAGCCGATCCGAGGGCGAGGAGGAGGAGGAGGAGGAGGAGGGCGAGGAGGAGGAGGAGGAGGAGGAGGAAGAGTGGACAAGACGAGGGTAGTGAGCATTGCGGAGGAAGGGCCAGGCGTGGGGAAGCGAGACGGGAGAGGGCTACTCTGCGTTTCCTACGGAAGCTGGCACGAGGCTCAAGGACAACCCTACAGCCTTTGGAGGTGTACCTTTTATGCTCTTCGTGTGTGGGCTTTCCACCTGGGAATGTTCTTCGATTGGGTTACCTCGCATCTCCTGGGGGCCATTGGCCTCCGGCGAAGCGACCCTTGCTCTTGAGCTACCCATTTGTGAATTTGTGGTCACGTTTCGACCGAGCGCGTGGCCCTCTCCCCCCCCCGACGGGGGTCAACCTCGCCTCGTCGGCGCCTCGGGCTGTGATGCGCTCACCGCCCTCTTCGTGGGCCCCCCTCTCTAGCGCACCCGATGCCAGGCGCTGCCCGCTTGGCCTTCAGCACTACAGGTGCCGTTCAAGGGTGAGGCAAGGATTCGTCACTTGGATCGTCGAGTATAAGCATACAGCGGGACGGGATGTGCGGGAGGTGTCATTCTAAAGGCTTTCGGAGTCTTCGGAGGCCCCTAGGAGCTTAGGAGTTTAGCTCAAGACCTTGAATCCTTTTCCCTAACAGCTGTTTTTCGGTTCAGGGGAAGGGGGCCTGGCGGCCCCCTTCCAGGAGCATATGCGCTTGGTGCTGAAAAGAGCTCGCCATATCCTTGTTCACGTTCTATCGTCCCGCGTGATGTCTCGACGACGACCGACGGTATCCGGGAACCCATCCGTATGTGGTAAGCGGAGCGGTGGCAATGACAGCGGTCACACCGCCAACAGCAGATGGGAAATCGTGGACGATGATGAGCAGAACAATAGCAAGGGCGAGCTTCAGCACGGCACCGACGACGACAGGTCGGGGGACCCCTGGAATCGATGGAGACGGCAACCGAGCAGCTGTGCGACACAGGATCAGGATTCAAGAACGAACAGAGGTCAGCAGGAGGATTGGGGAGCTTTTTGGGCAAGCGACGGCTATGATGATATGGTACTCCGAGGAGAGGTACGGCGGCGCGTTCGAGAAGAACAGGTCCGACACACACACACACACATTCCGACAAATCATCTCACTCGAGAGGCTTCGGCACGCCAGAGGAGGTGAATAATGGCAGTTGTAGAAGCGCGAAGCAGACTGGTGGCAGACGGCGAGTACGATAGATATCGACGACGAGGAGCACGCAGAGGAACATATCCACCATGTCCAGCCTTGGACGGGACGGACCTCAACGAGTGGCCCGAGACAAGGCTGATCATAGACAGGTGGAGTCGACTCACGGCAGTACCAACATAAGAGCAGGGATATACCGTGCTCTTACACCTGACGACGGAGGCGGCGACGGCAAGGCGACACCTACGACCAGGAAGTGTTCAGTATCCAGGAGGGTTGCAGGCTGTGATCATGGTCCTGGACACATGGGCCTTTCCAGAAGCGGGCGCCGAGACCTTCCAGCAGTTCGATGAGACGCTGTTCGCGGCGCCGAGGTCGCGCGACGAGACGCAGATGAAGTTCACCAACGGGATCAGAGCAGAGCAGAAGGAGCTGGTCAGGTTCCTACCCCACGCTTTCAGCGAGACGGTCATGGGCTTTCTACTACTACGAGGAGCAGGAATGGCCCAGACGGAAAGGAACCAGGCGATCATCCAGACAGGGTGCGGCTACAACGTGCGATCCCCAAGCGCATGACTGACGACAACACGGTGACCGACAAGACGACGCCCACGAGGACGGCGCACCTGGCAGGAATACCAGAAGAGGATGAGCCAGAAGCCTCAGAAGGTGAAGAAGAGGACAACCTCGTGCACGACGCGATGGCGAACTTGCTGGGCATCGAGGGCACCGATGAAAAACTGGAGAGCGAGGAGACCCTGACGGAGACGAAGGCGCTGGATTGCCTGGCGACGCTCATCGCACCACCCCCGAAGCCAAGGATGTGGGGGGAGGCCAGGAATATCGTCGCCGACAAGAAGACCAACAGGGGGTCCCACAACATCAGGGACCGCAGGAAGGCGGATGAGAAGATCGAGGGCATCAAGAAGCGGACCAAGTGCGGCATCTGCAAGAAGCTCGGGCACTGGCGCAAAGAGTGCCCAGACAATCCCATGGACCAGAACACGCCGACGGGGGGGTCCATCGCGATGGCGGTTCTCCAGGACGACGAGGTGTGCGAGTACATCGGTACCGAGGCGAAGATGGCGTCGAGGTCCGACTTCGTGGAGCCCATCAACCTGGCGGTAGACGTCGAGAAATCGGCCGGGCCAAGCTGGGGGGCCGTCGACGCGGCGCGCGGCGTCGACGCGATGTGTCTCGAGACGCGCGACGGGCGGGCCGAGCGCTGCAAGGGGTGCCGCGGCGTCGCGCTGGAGGCGATGACCTACCGCGAGGAGTGCCGCTTTGGGAACGACCAGGTCTGCGCGGCGACGGAGGGCGTCATCGTCCTGATGTCTCAGGGGAAGCTCAGCGGCGTGATCTTCGCGCGCTTGGTCAAGCGCGCTGCTCCGCCACTTCTTTCCAATGCCTTCGTCGTTGAGCTGGCGGCGTCTCCGCGTGCGTTCCAGTCAGAGCTTGATCTGCCAGAACAGAAGCTGGGACTTCCTTCGGCGCGCGCTGGAGGCGAGCACTTCCAGCTGCAACTGGGCAACTTCGCGACGCCGTGGAGTGGGCCTGACAGCTGGTCTCTGCGCGCGATGGAGTTTTCGATGGACCTAGGAACGAGCTCCGTGTTTATCGACCGATCGACGCCAGCCCCGGGATGCCTCGGAAGTTCCCCCCCCGAGTCGAAAAATGTGCCTTCGCGGGGGTCTTAGGTCCAGCAGGGAGCGACGGGCCGCCTCGACGAGCGACGACAGCAAGATAAACGAGAGCAGTGACCAGCGCAACAGCGCCAGAGCAGACAAGACCGAGCAGGAGAGCAACCGCGGCGTACTAATCAAGAGCAGCGACAATCGCAACGACGTGATATTCGAAATGGTCGGTCGACAACGGCGCGGCAGCAACGGCAGGTTTTTGAAAAGCACGTTCGGCTCAGGTCAGATTTCGCGGACAGGTGCCCCAAGAGCAGCCTCTCATGCGACGGGCCCCCGGGCTCCTCCACTCGGCGCTCGCAGCCATTATCATCGCGAGAGCCGGCGGTTTCAGTGGGGCAGACGAAGCCACCTGCAGCAGCGGCGATGCCTGTAGCCCACGGGGCGAAGGAGCTGAAGAGGAAGTCCACCGCCGAGCGCAGGGCGCACTTCAAGTGGTCTTGGCGCGAGATCAGCGACGAGCCCTGGCCGCCTGCAGGAGTAGTGATTTGCGTGTACTTCGAGGTCGCCAACCGGGGTCTTCGCCAGCCGACGGTGGGGGCCACGTCCGATCCAAAGAAGAGGGCGAACTGCGTCCGCGAGTTCAGAAGCCGCGGGGGAGGGGGGGGCGCGAAGGCCCTTCTGCGCCCGGCGCAGCGCGTGCAAGCTACATCTGGAATGCTACCCGAAGTCGGCGAAGGGAATGCAGGAGGGGATCGAGAGGCTCGAGGAGTGCGAGGGCCTGGAGGCGCGGATCAAGGACTTGCAACCGAGGGGCAAGAAGGGCAGCGCGACAAGGGGGGGGGGGGCGAGGCGGCCGCGACCGCGAGCAGAAGAACGGCACCGGCAAGTGCGAGGGCAGTTTCGAGGTCGGAGCGCAGCCGGCCAGCCGCCCGGCACCAGAAGGACGAGCAGGACGAGCAAGAGGAGTAGGAGGGGCTGGACGAGCCACCTGGGATCATGGCCCCCGCGGCACCGCGCGAGCTGCTGCGGGGCGACGACGCCAGCGAGACGACCGGCCAGCTGGTCGAGAACCTGGGGGATCGCCGACATCGGCGTCCTGTGGCCCACCTCAGCGAGAATCAGAACAGCTCCCTAGACAAGTCCATCAAACAGATTGTCGACACGGACGATCTCCCACAGGCACTGGGGGCGACGATTCCAGAGAGCCAGGTCTCCATGAGCCAGGTAAGGGGCGAGCGCGAGCAGAAGGTGGGGCACCTTGGCGAGGGTGGAGGGACTACGAGAAGCATCGGGAGCAGAGAGGCCATGCCGTTGAGGGCTACCGCCTGATGACAAGGATGGGGCAGAGGGAGGTGAGGAACTAGTTACAAAGCGCGACGCCCTTCTTGTCGGTCACCGAGCCCCCCAAGGACATCTACAACATCTGGCCGACGGAGAGGATCGGCAAGGAGATGCCCGCCTTCATCTCTGATGTGGCCATCAGGCAGGCGATCGACGGCAAGTATGTCTACTTCGAGCAGGATGGCCGCCCGATGGGCGGGGGGAATGTGTCGATTAGGAAGTTGAGGCCACTGCCCGAAGTCACTCAGGGAGGTGCTTTTTGCGAAGGTCGAAGCTGCGTGTCAAATGCACCAGGGCGCCTGTGGAGTTCGGGAAGACGCTGGGCCGAGAGTTCGTGGGCAGCCCCCTTTAGATGAAGCCGGGGAAGGTCCGCGAGTCGCTGAAGGAGTTGACGGGGGCGCTGGCGCGGCCCGTCGCGAAGGAAAAGGCGACGGTGAAGGTCGAGCAGAGTGCCGAGGCGAAGGCCGAGGAGGGGGGAGTTACCTGCTCACCCTGCTGCGCGGCCCCTACAGCGCCATCTAATCAGAGGAGCATGAAGTATTGATATTGATAGTTTCCCAGATTTCCAGGTTTTCCTGTTCTTCCGCGCGGGCT